ATCCACACAGTCGAATGCCTTTGCATAGTCAATAAAACACAGGTAAACATCTTTCTGGTATTCTCTGCTTTCAGCCAAGATACATCTGACATCAGCAATCCCTGGTTCCATGTCCTCTTCTGAATCTGGCTTGAATTTCTGGCAGTTCCCTGCGGATATACTGCTGCAGCTGGTTTTGAATGCTCTTCAGCAAAGTTACTCAAGTGTGATAATAATGATATTGTTTGATAATTTCTGCATTCAGTTGAATCATCTTTCTTGAGAATAGGCATAAATACGGATCTCTACCAGTCGATTGGCCAGGTAGCTGTCCTCCAAATTTCTTGGCATAGTGAGCACTTCCAGCATTGCATTCCTTTGTTGAAACATCTCAGTTGGTATTCCGTCAGTTCCTGGAGCCTTCTTTTCCACCAATGTCTTCAGTGCAGCTTGGACTTCTTCCTTCAGTACCATCAGTTCCTGATCATATGCTGCCTCCTGAAATGGTTGAATGTCAACCAATTCTTTTTGGTATAATGACTCTGTATTAAATGATGGTGTTGTTGAATTTTTCTGTATGCTAGCTGATTTATTGTCTTGTTGTCCTATCAATTGTTGAGAGAGAGGTTTTGAAATTTCCAGCTATAATTGTGGATTTTCCTATTTCTGCTTTTGGTTTTATCAATTTTTGCTTCACGTGTTTTGTAGCTCTGTTTGATGCAACACACATTTAGTGTTGCTGTGTGTTCTTGGTAGATTGATTCTTTTACCATTATATAATGTTTTTCTCTGTCTCTGGTAATTTTCTTTGCTCTGAAATCTACTTTATCTGACCATAATATATAGAATTTTTAACTTTATTTAATTAATTTAAATTTACATATGCTGTGGTCTGTATAATATTGGACAGTACAATTCTGGATTGTGGAGAGAGATATGATAAATTTAAAGAAATTTTTCTTAACTTTTTAAATTGTGATTTAGGTGAAAGTTAACAGCTCAAGTTAATTTCCCATACAAAAATTTATACATATGTTGTTATGTGACCCTGGTTGCAATCCCTATAATATGACAACACACTCCCTCTTTCCACCCCGGGTTTCCTGTGTCCATTCAACCAGCTCCTCCTATCCCTTCCTTCCTTCTCATCCCGCCTCCGGACAGGAGCTGCCCATTTAGTCTTGTGTATCTACTTGAACTAAGAAACACACTCTTTTTTTTAAAATTGTAGTCCAGGTGAAGGTTTATAGAACAAATGGTTTCTCATTAAACAGTGAGTACACATATTGTTTTATGACATTGGTTAACACGGTCCCTTCTCGACTTTTTTTTTTTTAGTGAAAATATACATAGCCAAAGATAGACCATTTCAAAAATTTCTACATGCACAATTCAGTGACATCAATTATATTCTTCGGTTGTGCGGCTAATCTCACTTTATTTATTTATTTTTATTGTACTTCAGGTGAAGGTTTACAGAACAAATAGTTTCTCATTAAACACTAGTACACATATAGTTTTATGACATTGGTTAACAACCCCACGACATGTCAACCCTCTCCCTTCTCGACCGTTTTTTTTTTTGGTGAAAATATGCATAGCCAAAGATACACCATTTCAAAAATTTCTACATGCACAGTTCAGTGTCATCGACTACGCTCTTCCAATTGTGCTGCTATTCTTACTTTAGATGAAGGTTTACAGAACAAAATAGTTTCTCATTAAACAGTACACATGTTGCCCTATGACAATGGTTAACAACCTCACTACATGCCAACACTGTCCTTACTCAACCTTTGGTTCCCTATCACCAGCTTTCCTGTCCCCTTCTGGCTTCTAGTCCTTGTCCCTGGACTGCTGTGCCTCATTAGTCCCGTTTTGTTATGTGGGGCTGTTCAATCCCCGGCTGAATGGCAAACCTTGGGAGTGACTTCACCACTGAGCTAAAAGGGTGTCTAGGGGCCATACTCTCGGGGTTTCTCCAGTCTCTTTCAGGCCAGTAAATCTGGTCTTCTTTTGTGTGTGAAGAAACACACTCTTAATGAGTATTATTTTATCTTTTATAGTCCAGTCTAATCTTTGTCTGAAGAATTGGCTTCGGGAATGGTTTTAGTTCTGATTGACAGATTCCGGGGGCTGTGTCTTCTGGGGTTCCTATAGACTCAATCAGATCATTAAGTCTGTCTTTTTACGTGAGTTTGAGTTCTGCACCACACTTTTCTCCTTCTCCGTTAGGACTGTCCATTGTATTCCCTGTCAGGGCGGTCATTGGTGGTAGCCAAGCATCATCTAGTTCTTGTGGTCTCAGGTTGATGGAGTCTGTCGTTTATGGGGCCGTTTTGTCTCTTGGGCTAATATTTTCCTTGTGTCTTTGGTGTTCTTTATTCTCCTTTGCTCCAGGTGGATTGGGACCAATCGATGCATCTTAGATGGCTGCTTACAAGCTTTTAAGACCCCAGGTGCCACTCACCAAAGTGGGATGCAGAACATTTTGTTAATAAACTTTGTTATGCCAGTTGACCTAGATGTCCCTGAAACCATGGTCCCCAGACTCCCGCCCCTGCTTCTCTTTCCCTCGAAGTGTTTGGTGGTGGTCCGGAAACTTCTTAGCTTTTGGTTTAGTCCAGTTGTGCTGACTTCCCCTGTAGTGTGTGTTGTTCTTCCCTTCACCTAAGATAATTCTTGTCACTGTCTAGTTGGTGAATTCCCCTCTCCCTCCCTCTCCACCCTCATCAAATGTTTTCTTCTGTGTTTAAACCTTTTCTTGGGTTCTTATAATAGTGGTCTCGTACAATATTTGTTCTTTTGTGACTGACTAATTTCACTCAGCATAATGCTAACGATAAGTTTTATAGTGTGTTAGAAGGTATTACGAGCAATGGGTGGTTAGCAGGAAAGGGGAGATTGACTGGAGGCAGCGGATGATATGATTATAAATTGGGTAGCCAGGAAAGAAATCGTTGAGAATGTGACGCTTGAACAGAGATTTGAAGGAGATGATAGAGTTAGCAATGCAGATGTCTTGGAGGAGGGTATATGAAGAGGTACTAGGGAGGTAAGCCATTCTAAAAACTTAACCTTTTACTCTGAGTGACATGGTGAACCACTGGATGGTTTAGAGCAGACCCTGATTTAATCTGACTTATGTTGAATAAAGATCACTCTGGATGGAATGTTGAAAATAGACTTAGGGGGCAAGAGTGGAATCAGGGGGACCAGTTAGGAGGCTACTGTAGGAATACAGGTGAAAGATGAGGTAGCCAGACCAAATGATTAGGATAGATTTTGGGGAAAACATCAGACATTGAGTTTTGGGCATTTAAGTTTGAAATGTTTATTAGACACATCTAAATAGAGAAAGCCAAGTAGCCTGTCTGGAGTTCTACTTCAGATACATGAGTTCTTGCCCTTGTGTAGGTTATACTTTATGGGAATATGAGCAATAAATACAATAAGTAAATAATTAAAACATAATGTGTTAGAAGGTAATAAATGGTAAGGAGAGAAATCAAGTAGAGAAGAGGGGATAAGTGGTGTTGGAGGGCTGAGTTCTTGAGAAGGTAACATTTGAGTAATGATAAGAAGGTAGTGAGGGAATCTTATAGATACGTAGGAGAGAAGTCGTTCATGTAGAGGGGGAACCAAGGTGTAAATATCCCCAGGTGGGAGCATGGCTGGTGTGTTTGGAAAAGAGTGAGGTGGCTAAGTGTGGCCTGAGTGGAGTGGGTGAAGGGTATACTAAGGGATGATAGTACATGGTAACGAGCTCTGACTTTTACCCTGGATGAGATGGGAAATTAATGGATAGTTCGGCAGAAGAGAGGTATCATCTGACCTGTAGTTTGAGTCACTCTCACTGCTGTTCTAAATAGACTGAAGAGGGTGAGGGTGGAGGCCGGGAGATTGGTTAGGAAACTATTACGATAATCAAGGCAAGAGGTGCTGGTGGCTTAGTCTTGGGTGGTAGCAGTGAGATGCTGAGGGATGATCATACTCTGGGTCTATTTTGGGGCTTGCCCTGACAAAATTAGCTTATTGATTGAATGTGGGATGACAGGAGCCAAGGATTATTCCAAGATTTTTGACCTGAGCAGTTAGAAGGATATAGTGCAGTTAACTCAGATGGGAAAGATTGGGAAGAGCAGGTTTGAAGGGGGTGACCAGGAGATCAGTTTTGGAGATGTTATGTTTACAATGCCTATTAGATATCCAAGTGTAGGTGCTCAGTAGTAGTCATTCTAATTATATTTATGAACATAGTTTTATGTATTTTATGAAATATTGGTATTAAAACAGTATACTCACGTTCTGAAAATGTATGAAATTTTGTGAATATCTTAGTTTTTGACATGTTCAGTCCTGACAAAATCCTGAGTATTTTAGAGAGAGAAACTGTTTGACTGATTTTTGGCTTTGCTGCCAGAGTTGATGGTCCTTTCTGAGTTTTTATAAAGATGTCATCCTGATTTTAGGGATGGAAATACAATTAACTAGTCCGAGCGTTTCTACTTGCTTTCTATTTTAGGTCCTGATACTGCTGGAGTATGCAAGATATGAAACCCTGTTTTCTTGGAGGTGTGCCTTAAGTATCAAACATCTTAAATAAGAAAAGGGAAACATTTTCAATTTTGACTGTCAGAATGCCAAGGAGAAGGAAAAATCTTGGGGGAAGTCCGTTTCGGAAGACTGCAAACTCTAAGGAAGTTGTATCCAGTGATGCTAGTCATGAGGAGCCAACCACTACTCTTCCTTCCACGTGTGAGATCCAAGTTGATCAGGACGAACTCTTCACCAGTATTTCAGAGATGTTTTCTGATCTGGATCCGGATGTAGTATATTTGATGCTTTCTGAATGTGATTTCAAAGGTGAGAAAAAGTTTAGTTTGAACGCTTTGCATCTTGTCTGAAGATTTCATGTACTATGCCATAACCAGTAGTAATAGAGAACAATGAACTGTCTTATCATTTCTTTTTTGTTCATCGATTATTGAGCTGTTCTGGGCAAGTTACTCAGTTTGGTATCATGGGGAATATAAAGAAAAATAAAGCATAGTTCTTGTTAAGAAATTTACAATTCTAGATGTAAGATGCATGTATAGGTATCATATTCCACATTTTATTTCTTTTTATCTTTTCTCTAGAACAGGTTGGCACGATTGACATTTTGGGCCAGAAAAATGTTTGTTGTGATGACCTGTGCACTGTAGGATGTTTAGCAGCATCCCTGGCCTTTACCCACTAGTTGCCAGTAGCAAGACCCCCTCCCCCCTAGTTGTGACAACCAGAATGTCTCCAGATACTGCCATATGTCCCTGGAGGGCAAAATTATCCCCAGTTGAGAACCACTGTCTTAGAACGTAAGCTGCATAAAGACAGCGATTTTTAAAAAATCTTTTGTTTTACTGCTGTATATCCAGCCCCTAAAATAGCAAATGACCTATAGTAGGAGTGTAGTTAACTACTTATTGAGTGAACAGATAGTTGTAATTAAGAGACCAAGAGCCAATTAACAGTTGAGGCTAGTAGAATATTGTGATTTTAGAACATTGATTTTGGAGTCAAGAAACCTGGATTGGATTTCTAGCTCTGTCACTTAATCTCTCTAGGTCTCATTTTCTTAAGGAGAAAATGATAGTTAATGAGAAAAATAGTAGTATGTAGCTCATAGGCCCTTTTTTTCATGAAAATTGAGGGTTTTTTTTGTTTTCTGTTGGAGTAAAATCTTCAGTATGCTAAGTTATTAATAAATCACAGTAAATTTTTTAGAAATATGTTTGCAGACAGAGGGAAGTTCTGTCAAATTTGACTGTATGAGTAAATTAAATCTTGATGCTAAGCTGTGATTGGCCATGATTAGTATAAAATTCTGGATTGGGAAGTTTTGGTAATGTGTGATAAACTGTGGTGTGTTATGATGTGTATGCAGAAAACTAGGTTTCTACAGTCCACATAATTCTCAGAAATCATAGTGTGCAGAATGTAAGAAGTGTGGCTTCAGCGTTGAACATTTATTATTTTCTAATGTTGATGACTTAAAATTTTTTTTGTTGCGTATACACTAACATAGCAATGGGGAATTATATAAGAAAAATATATTACCCTCATATCCTAATTAAAAAGTAGTATCCCCCTCGCCCAGGATCTTTTCTAGACCTTGTTCATAAATGCTTGAACTTTTGTGTAGTTTGAATAACGGCACTGATGAAATTTTTATTTTGCTTTTTTTTACTTACCCTAACAATACAGCATTTTTTCAGTGTTGCTGCAATATTTATTTTTAATAGTTTTCTAATACTCTACGGAGTTGTATGTTCTAATTTATTTGACTGTATATAAGTTTTTCATGAATGATTAATATTGCAGAGAATTTCTTGGTACAGATACCTTTTTCCTTCTCTTGGCTTCTTAGTCGCAAAGTTTTAGTCTCTGGGGTCAGAAGGTAAGAACGGTTTCAGGCTCTTGGAACCATACTGCTAAATTGCCTACCGAAGAGGTGTGCCAATTTGTAGTACTATCAGCGCTGTATAAGTATAGCAGTTTCACCACAGCCTTTTCAGCATTGTAAAGTATTGTTTTTAAGATTTTAATAGGAGTAAAATTGCACCCTTTCTTAATTTACTTGTTTTTTGATAAAGAGGAATGTTGAACATTTTTGTACATACTTGTTCATTAGTTCATGTATACATTATGCATTTATTTATAGTTTTTTTATATCATGGTTTTAATATATTCCAACAATCTGTGTAAGGACTTTCTGTAATACAGAGATTTATCTTGATCTTTTGATTTATTTTAACTTAATGTTTTTTTTCATTATGTACATGTTATTCTATTTTGTTTGGTTGATCTCTTCTTTTGTAGATTTCCTCATAGAAATGTCTCATATTAGCTTTCTTTTATTTTTTCCATTTTTAGGACTTCTACCCTTTGTAGTATTACTACAATCTCCTAACTAGTTTTTCTGCCAGGCCTGTCCCCTGAAATCCCTCTTTGTGTTTCTTCTTAAGGGAACGTTAATTGGGTACTTAGTAGGTGCCAGGCCTTGTGCATAACACTTTCTCATGGATTATCTCATTTAATCCTCACAACAACCCTGTGAGATAGGTACTTTTGTTACCCCCATATTACAAATGAGAAAATTGAGGCTTAGGGAGGTGGGATAGCTTGTTTAAAGTCATAGCCAGCAGGTAGGGAAACTGGTGTGTTCTGACTCCATACCCAGAGCTGCTAGCTACTGTGCTGTACTTTTTCCAGATTTATCTTCCTTAAAACAAAGTAAAACAAACAAACAAAAAAATCAAATTTCAAATGCTTAAAATTTCTAATGCCTTCCCATTTGTGTCATAACTTAAAGAGCTCAGCATTGGAATCAGATACGCTAGTCCTGGCTCTACCGCTTATTATCTGTGTGACTTGGGGCAAATTAGTATACTCTTTGAACTTCATTTTCTTTATCCATTTTCTAGGAATAAAATACTTGTATTATTTGAGGATTCGGTGAGGTGATGTGCATAAAGCTTTTAGCCCAAGGCTTGGTACGTTAGGTGCTATGGCTGGTATGTTCCCGTTGAGTTTCTTTAGAAAATAAAAATGGATATTTCTTAACATGACATACAGGACTCTCCCCTTTTCCATCCAATCTCCCACTCTAGTTTTAGCTCCTTCTCTCATCCACCTTACCATCATGTGTTCACACTCCAGCTAACTTCTCTTATTACCTTAAACCTACTGTTTGTTGTCATGACTGGCTTTGCTTTTCTCTTCTGGGTCTGGCAAAATTCTTTTTAATCTGCAATCCCACTTCACATATCACCTTATATAAAATCCTTCCTTACTCTCCTGTAAGCTGCAATGGCATTTTTACATTATTAAAAATATGTGTTATTAATCTTTATCCTATTATGTTATAGTGTAATTGTCTTTAGTCTCCTCTACTAGAGAGCAAAATCTCCTGAGGGTAGTAAAGAGTGTGCCTTACTCATCTTTGAACACTTGAAGTGCAAACTATGTCTGATACATAGTAAACCCAAAATCAAACCCATTGTCATCGAGTCGATTCTGACCCATAGGACAGAGAAGAACTGGCCCACAGGGTTTCCAAGGCTGTAAATCTTTTTTTTTTTTTTAATTGTTGTGCTTCAAGTGAAAGTTTACAATTCAAGTTAGTCTCTCATACAAAAATTTATACCTACATTGTTTTGTGACCCTACTTATTCTCCCTGTACGGTGACAGCACACTCTTCCTTTCCACCCTCGGTTTCCTGGGTCCATTTAACCAGCCCCTGACCCTCTCTGCCTTCTCATCTCACCTCTGGATAGGAGCTGCCCATTTAGTCTCATGTATCTACTTGAGCTAAGAAGCACACTCTTCACAAGTATCATTTTATGTCCCATAGTCTAGTCTAATCTGTGTCTGAAGAGTGGGCCTCGGGAATGGTTTTAGTTTTGGGCTAACAGAGAGCTCGGGGGCCACGTCTTCCAGGGTCCCTCTAGTCTCAGTCAAACCATTAAGTTGTCTGTTGACTAGAATTTGAGTTCTGCACCCCACTTTTCTCCTGCTCCGTCAGGGACTCTCTGTTGTGTTCCCTGTCAGGGCGGTCACTTTGATAGCTGGGCACCATCTAGTTCTGGTCTCAGGCTGATGAAGTCTCTGGTTTATGTGGCCCTTTCTGTCTTTTGGGCTAGTACTTTCCTTGTGTCCATGGTGTTCTTCATTCTCCTTTTCTCCAGGTGAGCTGGGACCAATTGATGCATTTTAGATGGCCGCTTGCTAGCTTTTAAGACCCCAGATGCCAAGGCTGTAAATCTTTATGGGAGCAGACTACCGCAACTTTCTCTTGCAGAGAGGCTGGTGGGTTCGAACCTCTGACCTTTCAGTTAACAGCCAAGCGCTTAACCACTGTGCCACCAGGGCTTCTCTCAGAGTAGAACTGCCTCATACGATTCTTTATAGAAGCAGATTGCCTCATCTTTCCCCTGCAGAGTGGCTGGTGGGTTCGAACTGCTAACTTTTCGGTTGGCACCTGAGTGCTTAATCACTGCGCCACCGGCGCTCCTTGACATGTAGTAGGTGCTCATAAATATTTTTGATTTTATGTTTATATTTTTATTTATATTTTTTATTTATAGCATGGACCGTATAAATTAGACTTACTAGGAGAATACTTAAAATGCTTAAATATAAATTAGACTTACTAGGAGAATACTTAAAATGCTTAATACTTCAAAGGAAAGTCAGTAAATATTTGTTGAATAAATGGCCTGGTTTTAGGGCCTTTATACATAGTCCTGTACATACAATTGCAGATATTTACATATTTGCTCAACAGATTTATCAGAGAATATCTATTTGATGACAGTATTTTAGCCTAGTTTATTACTGTTTGTCTGAAAGTAACAACCTTGTGTATCTCCATAATTCAAATCTTCTGCTATTTCAGATTAACCTTTGTTATATTGGTAAAATATTTAATTTTTAAAAAATGAGTTGAATATTTACCAATTTTTCTATATTCCACTGTAATTTTACCTGGATTTTTATCAAATTTTATTTTACTGTTTTCAATACATTCATAATTTGTTATTTTTATTGTTTTTGTACAGTTGAAAATGCCATGGATTGTCTATTAGAATTATCTGCTACTGATGCCAAGAAAGAAGAATCATTTTCAGTAAACTTACTAGCTTCTGAGAACCAAGAGAGTGTAGCAGGAAGTGATATAATGGAAAAGTGTCCTGAAAACAACAATAAGGATTCAAAAATGTATTCTGTTTTGGATATGCAGCTAACTGAAGACCTTGAATGCTTCGTAGAGAATGCTTTTGAGACACTGGACTCTTCTCCTGAAGGCCAAGTGTCCTCATCTTTGCCTTTGCAAGATGTTCATAGTTTGAGTGACCCAAGTGAGTGTATAAATTCAGATTCAAGTAGTGTGACTCCCATTCCTTCTGCACAAAATAAGGATTTGAACAATGAAATTTTAGAGAGTTCTGCCTCTACATTTAGTTTAAACTCCTTAACTTCACATTCAGTTTTGAATGAGTCCAAAAGTTTCTTAAAGGATAACACATTGACATTGGAAGATAACTGTCCAGCAGATTCCCTTGTAAATAGTTCTTTAAATGTAGCAAATGACTGCATCCTGGGTTGTAGCAATCTCAATCAGAGACAGGAAAAGCTTTTAGAATCTGAGTGTGCTGAGACTCAGTTCTCTCAAGCCTCTGTAGACTTGGATGCCAATGAATCTCAGGCTCCTTTAAATCTTTCTGTGCAAAATCCAGAGCTTGATTTACTGGGTGCAGGCGGGGATCAAAAATCTATTTCTACTCCCGATGTGTTAGTACCTTCTGAAGGGTTCATTTTCAAGCAGCACAAACCTACTGAACTGCCACCAAAGGGGAAGGATGTGAATTGCTGTCCACTTTTTACCCCTCTCCCTTTACTACTGCCTCCTTGTTCACCTTCACAATTTTGGAGTCCAATAGTTCCTGCTTTTGACCCATTTCAAGGAAACCAAGGGTTTGTAACTCCTGTTGTAAACACAGCTACACATTGGAGACCCGTCAGCTACATGTTTCCATCCCCAGTTATTTCTCATACTTCCCGAACCAAGGTATGGAGAAATAAAGAAGGAACAAGTGCTTATCAAGTACAAGACACTCCCGTTTCTCACGGTGTAAGAAAGAAGAAAACATCTTATGTTGGACTAGTTCTTGTTCTTCTCAGAGGGCTTCCGGGATCAGGAAAATCTTTTTTGGCAAGGTATGAGGTTTAATTGAGTTTAAAACAAATATAATGTGTGAACACAGACATTTATATTAGATACTGTGAATATAGGAAATACGTTGCTTACTAGAGATGTTGATAACCCCTAAAATGTTTCCGTTTACTTATTTTTTCTAACTTTGTAGCTAATAGCACTGTTTAGTCCAGACATTTTCATTTTCATCTCAGTATATTTTTGAGAAAATGAAGAGAAAGAAAAATCAAAGATGATTCCAAGCTTGTGCACATGTGGAGTTAATAGAAATAGCTTTATGTGGAAGCTATGTACTGGGAGAAGGATGGCATTATAGCGTTGAAAAACCTTAATAGATTTTGAATTCATGGAAAGGAGATTTTAAATAGAAGAATTCTACTGGTAGTTAGAAATTTGAGATTGTAGCATGTTGTTAAATACTACTTTTAGAAATGTGTAATTTGAAGGAAGAGAGTTTAGGATGAATCATGGGCAGTCAGAGAACTTCAAATTTTCAAGGAATTTGTTTGTTGCAGATACAGTACCCTCCATTATTTTTTTTCATGTATCCATCCACGTCCCTTTTGTAGTTATGGTAGGTTGTAGACAAATCTGTGGATGCTTTGGTCTGGAGCCAGTTTAGAGGCAGTTTTTTGTGGTTTCAGGGACACTCCTTAAAGAGTTTGTTTTCATTGTCCCCCATCCCACCTTATCCTCTAAATTCCAGAAGATTAATACATAATGTATTTTATTTGCCAGCTCTTTCTTTCTTTCTCCAAATTTTAACTGTTTACCCTTCTCTATTCTCAGCAAGGCCTTTTTTTTTGATCCTGGATATATTTAGTGTTAGTGAATATGCATGTATACATGGAGAATGTCCTTGACAAGCTCATTTTCAGTTGGTTTTTGATATGCTTTCTTATGTCTGGATTTATCTTTCTGTAAATTTCCACATATTCTGCTCATATATTTATAAGCATATTTTTCCATAGACCTGTATTATAGTCTTTTCATTGATTAATAACAATAATAAAAATAAAACATTCAAATTTAGTATATGAATTTACAATCAGTCATGGTTTTATATTTTATGGAAGAGATTGGAATTATAGGTGGTACCTTAAAAGGTGACAGAGCTGTAAGTTTTGACAAACAGGTTTGAGGGCCCATCCAGTCAGTGGCAGCTACACTTAGAGAATGAGAAGGAAAGAAGTGTTTATCACAAAGTAGAAACTTAATATTTTTTGAATGAATAAGCAGAAGTAACTGGGGTCGTTCAAAGACATAAAAGGTGAGAATTTTCATGAAGAAAATAGTCCGCAGTATTAAACCTGTGTGCAAGCTCAAGGAAGATGAGGGATTAAAAAAGGCTTCTGGATTTATTTGGAAAGAAGGTCATGAATAGGTATCTTGAAAAACAATTTTGTTGTGTGTGAGGGTAGAAGACATAAAGGATTAAGGAAGCATGTATAATGAAGCACTTGAGGTAAGGAGAGAAGTTGGATAATAATTGAAAGCAATCTTTAAACTGTAGTTATAATTTTTTAAAGATAGCTGAGATATATGCATGTTTAAAGGCAAAAGAAGAAGTACCAGAGAAGGAGGAATTTAGAAATAAGAGAAGAGGATAAATATAGGAGTCTTAGAAGGTGGGATCATGTGAACGTTCATTGGAATAGTGACCCTATAGGACATAGTAGAACTGTCCCACAGAGTTTCCAAGGCTGTAAATCTTCATGGAAGCAGACTGCCACATCTTTCTCCCCGAGTGGCTGGTGGGTTTGAACCACTGACCTTTTGGTTAGCAGCCAAGCACTTTAACCACTGTGCCATCAGGGCTGCTAGGCTCAATGAGGGTAAGAATTTTTTTTTTCTAGAGAGCCTTTTATTACTTTGTGCTACTTTTTTTTTTTTATATACTTTTTTCCATACAAAAATTTATACATACATTGTTATGTGACCCTAATTGCTCTTCCCATACTGTGGCAGCACAGTCCTCCTTTCCAACCCTGATTCCCCATGTCCATTCAACCAGCTCCTAACCTCTGCCTTCCCATCTCACCTCCGGACAGAAGCTGCCTATTTATAGTCTCTTGTATCTACTTGAGCTAAGAGGCACACGCCTCAGAGTATCACTTTATGCCCCACAGTCCAGTCCAATCCCTGTCGGAAGAGTTGGCCTCGGAGATTGTTTTAGTTCTGGGCTGATAGAGAATCCCGGGGCCATGTTTTCCGGGGTTCCTCCAGTCTCAGTCACATCATTAAGTCTTCTTACTAGAATTTGAGTTCTGCACCTACCTTTCTTCTTCTCCATCTGGGACTCTCTGTTGTGTTCCCTGTCAGGGCAGTCATTGGTGGTAGCCGGGCACTATCTAGTTCTTCTGGTCTCAGGCTGATGAAGTCTCTGGTTTATGTGGCCCTTTCTGTCTCTTGGGCTAATACTTTCCTTGTGTCTTTGGTGTTCTTC